AATCAACCCGCCTAACACCACGAACATTTGTTCTCTCTCTCTCTCTCTCTCTCTCTCTCTCTCTCTCTCTCTCTCTCTGTGCACCTAATCAACCCGCCTCACACCACGAAGACTAAGCATGACAGACTGAGACAAGACAAACGTTCCAGAAGCACACACACACTGTCTCTCATGCAGCCTTCTTTCTTGCGCCACCCCCCCTACGATTCGGTGCCGGTGACTTTCTCTTCTTCGCGCCTGCTCCCCGGCCTTCCCTCTCAGCCTGTCTGGCATCCATCCGTCGCTGCCTGTCCTCAGCTCGAGCCCTCTCGTCCAATATCCCCTGATATTTCTCCACCCAGCGAGGCTTCGTCAACCTATCCACCAGCCTCATATCCCTCACCTGGATGGTCACCCTCTTCGAGTGGATCGCCACTTCGTTTGTGTTCTCGAAGTTGGCGACCAGGTAAGCCTCCGCAACCTCCATCAAAGCACGCACAGCTGTCATCTGGAACCTCAGGCCCTTATTAGGGGTAATGTCCTTCTCCACCACCTCGCGGACGACGCGTAAGAAGGGCCTGAAAGGGATACAAAGGTCGGTGGATCGTTGCAGCTTCCTGATCTCTGTCAAGGCTGCCATCCCGGGGTGTCTGCGGCGTCTGTGGACCCGTGCAGGCGCATCTGCATTGTTACCGGTCTGTGGCACAGGCTGGGGGTTCTTCTTTTGCTTGTCACCAACCGTCTTCCCCCTCCGCGGCCTCGACACAACCGCCTTCACCTTCCTCGGGCTGTGGGACATCGCTGTCTTGCTGGGCCCGGCCACGTCACCCTGCGCTGCAGAGCACCCTGCAACTCGCTCACCGCCACATGGGCCCTCCACCTCAGCAGACAAACCGTCCTGATGTCCCGGGCGCGTCTCCTCTGTCTGTCCCGGCCTCCGATGTCCACCTCGGGTGTTCTCGGCCACCATATACCGAATGTCTCGAAGGAGGCCATCCGAGTACGTCAGTAGAAACGACACACTAAGCGGGTCCCTGAACCTCATCATCATCTCTCCACCTTGCTCGTATGTCATGCGACATACGGCCGGGACCCAACCAACAAGGGCGGGGCAACCATGCCTGCGGCGGATGTGAGCCATGTACCTGTTCTCGCCATCGCCCTGCCCTTGCCCACCAGGACTCCCCTCAACCATGGACCACATCCTCTGGTCTGGCATGGAGTCGTAACCCATGCACACCATCTGACAGTCCTCCTCCCTTATCTTCTCCCAGCACCGCTTTGCATGCTCCACAACCAGCACATGGTCCTTCACATCTGCATTGAAAATGGAGACACGTGCCACTACCACCAGGAACTGCCACTGCTCCACCATGCCTGCATGCATCCACCCCAAGGGCAGCCAATGGCCTGTCTGCAGTTTCACTGCCATGGTCACCTTGCCATCAACTTTTGCCGGCTGCAGACATCCTGGGACCCAATTCACACGATATCCATACTTCTGAGGGGCCACATGCTGCTGCAACTGCCCCTCAGGGATGACATGGGCCGCAATGTCTATGGCAGCCAGAACGTCAGGGTTCAGGTTGAATGGGTCCCATACCAGCGTGGTTATTCCATCAGCAGTAGCGTCCTCCCCTCTGGCATGCGTGTATGTGTACCCATGGTCACCCGCGAAC